GATAAACTATGTACATCTCCCTCTTTTACAGATTTGTCGATACATATGGAAGCTGCCTCCAGTAGCATATGCTCTAAGCAAGAATTGCATTCACACACAGACATATGAAAATGAGAAATACGAACATGCGACGATTGAATAATCCCGTGGAAGGGATCGTTTCGCGTACACATGGGCGTACAATATAATCCGTGACTCTTTTCTATTGATGACGACTGCATTGCTCCCCTTGACAAAAGGCTCGGATATTCATTACATACTTGTATTTGCAATTATTACTTACGCGTATGTATCTTTATAGTATATGATATACGTATAAAGATATATAAATACTATATCCATCAATGAAAAAAGATTATATATATATATATATATACAAAAGTGAAAATATGTGAGTAAAGAGAGGAATTTAAATATTGTTAGTTGGAACAGAAAACGCGCGACCAGTGACTGTGTGGGACATTATCGATTGAAAATGAAGGAGAATGACTTAAAGCGATTTTCATAAAGACAATGGAGAAAGATATCTCTTTATGATTTGTCGAAACATACAGAGGTAGATGAATGAATAGTCTTTTTTCTTTCTTTCTTTTTTTCTCTGTTGATTGTTAATTCTATTTCGTTTCCGTTCTCTCCCCCGGCTTCTTTCTCGGTTAATTATTACTATTATGGCTATTACGATTATTATTATTATAATTAATATTATTAGTAGTGGTAGTAATGTTATGACATTACGATCGTGTTATTCATGAATCATTACAAGTTTGGGAAGTGCAATGTCGCGGCTCGTGCTCGGTGTTTAAACCCCGACAATTAGCTACTTTGTTAGAGAACTCGCGTCCTCAATAAACGAAGAGGATTCTATTTTTCGTCCAAATATCAAGTGCACGAGGCACGATCAGGCAACGTTTACAAATCAAAGGTTCTCAGCCTGAGTCAACAGTTTATGCTGACATCGTTAGTAGCTGAAAGACTTTAACATCGTGTAGAAAATTTGTAAAAAATATACGCTAAACATATTAATTCATATCTTACCGTTAATTTCTAAAATCCGTTAATTCACGAAACAACTAATTATATATGAAATGAGTATACATACTGAAATACTTATTAGTTATTTCATGAATTAACTGAAGTAGGCACTTCAATACATAAATAAAGCACTCAAACACATAAATTACTGCGTTCTAGTATTTGAAAACTGAATAATGAACTTCAAATACATTAAATTTTTTATTTAGTAAAATGATGTACTACTACTTTTCATAGTCACGTAATCTACAATAAAATTAAGCAATCCGATGATTGCAATGCACAAGTATTCGTTTTACGTGTACATCAAAACTAGTATCGATTGCCTGGGTGGCTTGGCTACTTGTTTGTGTTGCGTGAGCGTCAGGCAAACACGTTTAATCGAGTAATGAGTTTTTCGTGCAATCATATCATTCGAATAGTTGAGAAAGGTATTTCTAATCAACTAAATGATATATATTTATATATATATTTGTGTATATTACATAACTACGTTTCTAGATAACAGCTCGTGTGCCTGTCGCCTTACTTATGCAGCCATGTATGAATTATCTTACAATTACAGAACGATTCGTAATGGCCATAGCTGTTTAAAATACTAGTCGAAGTCATTAGAAAATCCTTTCTTGAAACGAATCTGTCGCTCAGTAAGACAGACTCGGTACTAGGTAAACTTTCAGTGTCTTAATTTTAGTCCAACAAGAACAGTTGCTACTGCGAAGCTTTTCGTTCCTAACTGTCTGGTGTTACAGTTCATAACGTATCACTTCGATCCTCTTTCGCTAATCCGTAGATAAAATAATTTACTCTAAAAAATTAAATAATCCAAGCCATTGAAATCATATTAATTGGCGAATCATTACAATCATCAATTACGTCTTCAGCTACTATCGAGTATTTAGAAGTTTTATGCCTAATTAATACTGAAACAGGTCCTCAGCACAATCAAGCCTACGGGTAACTTATTCTACTACTCGTACTCGTAGATAATCGCGCAGTATCTTAATTCTTTGTTTTCTTAAAGACGAAGTCTTTGACTCGCAGTTATATTTTGTTTCATTTTTATTGTATTTAAAAAGTAGTTAATTAAATACGTTAAATTGGAGATAATACGTTGAGCACGATTTAATTCACGAAGGGTTAAGATTAACTGCGTCCGGATAAAAGCGATCTTTCGTGCGACGGAATCGAAACATATCTAGTACGATGATCGTAATTTCTCGCCGAGGCATACAAGATCAATAGAGATGGATCGAAAACGAGCATGAATTAAGGGGGAGCAGAAATAAAGAGATTCCTCTTCTACATACGATAGATTCTCCGGTTTGTTATTTCCTCCACTTCCTGTTACGACTCTGTATCATGCATACTTTTGCCCGATCACCCCATGTGCTCTTTAATTGAGAGAAAAGAATGGGTAAGAGAATCGTGTGCGCGTTGAGTATGTGTGAAAGTATATCCAGAGAGCGAAAGAATGCAAGGCAGGAGCGACAAATCGTGCCACGAAGGCGAACGAAAGAAAAAACGATGACGAAGAATGAGCGAAAACGTACAATAAAGATTGCGATTGAGATCCTGAAAAAGCACGTACGATGTACTGTTTGACGAGCGCAGAGAAAGAGGGGATTAATGGATTTTATCGACCAGAGAGCGACCTACGATATACATGCAATTGTCTTTTTATTTCCTTTTTTGATGACGACTACTGCTTGACACTTTATTGATTACGACGATGATTATACATATACGTATATATTATATGACGACGATTATATGCGAGAATGTGTTAGACGAAAGTATGTATAAAATGTATTTTAAGCGTGGACAAAAAAATCAATTTACATTTACAATTTACAGTAACAAATAACAATACTGATGTGGGTTGTGCATAAGGAAACAAAACGAGGAAAGCGCGTGTGTGTGCGTACACGACGAACATCTGCGACTCGTGTGCCGAAATGGAGAATCGGATCGACTCGAAGGACCGAATCACGCGATTAACCGCACACACAAAACGAATTTTCGTCCTGGTGCGGATTCGTCTCTTCTCTTGTTGTTCCTTTCTCGTTCCATACTCGTTCCGTATATGGTTCATGCGTGCGATATCTTCCTCTGTTCTCACGTTATATAATCTACAGTCTACGATGTTTCATTGTTTTAAACAAACTTATGTAATGTTCCTTCCAAGTTAGCCTTCCCATTATTGAAATTCTGTGAGAATTAGTAGCATTTGACAATTTTCGAAAGAAAATTGGTTTAGTAATATAAAGAATAATATTTTCGATTTTTCTTTTTAATCCTTGTTAGTAATTGTTTCGATGACTGCTATGTCTGTTTATTTTAGTCGTAAAAGAGTGAGATTAAATGAAAGAATGAATAAAAGGAACAAACAGGTGGAGAGACATTAGAAAACGAAACAGAAGTGCCAAATCATTCGTGACTTCCGTCCCAGTTGGGCAATAAATAAGTACCGCAACTTGGCGAGAATGCAAAGTGTTTGCCATTTTTTCTCCAATAATCATAAGGATTCTTAATCTGTCCGCTGTATATCGATTTCCTTTTAATTACATTGCGCTGGAGAAATGGCCACTACATCCGTTATTTTCGCTAAGATTTATTCATAGTCGAAAGGAACGAACGAATAGATTATTATTTTGTCATCCAAACGGAAGAAAAAGTCTGTTCACAATTAATGACGGTTTTACGACGAAGATCGTTATTTTAAACTGTTCGATAAAAACGATCGATCCGGATAAAGTAATTTCGACACTCGCTATTAGTGCCTGTCGTTTCGTCGATAATCAGGACGAAGGGTGGTATCGTCATTCAACGTCGAGAAACCTCTAGTCCTATTCGTCGAACTGACCAAAACGAGCTCGTATCCGATCCTCCATTAAATTTTCGACGCTTTCTATTAAGAAACAAACAACGTAAGATCGACCGTGATCAATTCAAAAAAGTGAAAAAAAAAACAGTAAAATATTTATTCGAACGACTTGCCAATTTCGTTGCACAGTATACACGAAGTAAGTACGAGCGAAACAAAAAATATACAAAAAAAGAAATAATGAATCAATAATAACGGAAAGAGATCTATAGATTATGGATTAATGGATGAGTTGCGTAGCTATTTGAAAAGTTTCACGAAATATTGATGTATATATTTTAAGTTTGTATTATAATGTCCCCACTTAATTTGTATGAAATTGAGTATTTCAAGCATTAAAATGATGATATAAAAAAATCTCTGTTTTTCATATTTTCCTTCGTTCCTATACATACTCCGGCTAGTAAATCTATGAATATCCTGTATATTGTCTACCTAAGATAAAACTTCCTTAACTATATGTAGATAATCGTCTATTAAAAGAAAGTAGTTTAAAAGCAGCGTATTTTTCTCGAATGGGCAGAGCGGGCAGAGCTAAATCAAAGGTGAACGGGGCTTTCAGTCCTAAAAACTAAGAATTAAATAGTTCTCAATAGCATTTTGATTCAAATACTTGTATTTCATGTGACTGATACAATTAGGAGGAATTTATAATAATTGGAAAAATAAAATGTGAAAACAATAAATGGTTCACGCTTCGCGCATGCCCATCGTTTACAATGTTTACATGTCCATGGTTTGTATGGTCATGTGAGCATGCGCATATATATCTATAATACGTATTTTCAACTGTAGGGTGCACTAAAATTTGACCAGCAGCTGAAACGCATGTGCCATGGTCTGTACCCCCTTACGTATTTCGGTACCCTTTATTGCCACAATGCTACGTCCTTCAGGTCTATAATCAGCTTTATATAAATAACGTATACCTAAAAAACTATGTGCACATGCCCCACTTTTTAGATATACTGTACAAAGCTGGTATATCAATCAGGTCCACGATTGATCTGGAATCCCTTGAGGGCACTGTACATATGTACCAATGTACAATATCAGCTGACATTAGATGGAAAGGAGGGCTATGCGCAGTGCGGTATCACATGTCAATGCACGCTGCGCATGTAAGTACTTACCGGTGAGAAAGACATGGCAGGTGTTTCGGCTGCTACTTATTGTTAACTAGTTTTAGTACATAAAAAAGATTACTCATGCTGCCCGAAGTAAAATGATAACGAGTACATTAGATAATAATTTGTGAAGCTTACTTTAAGTAACCGATCATCCGGGATCGCCGTAAAACATGTCGAACCCACGGGAGGCAGACACATTAGTAAGTTTCACGACTATATTGTAGTATTTTCGTTTTTTAATTGTTATCAACACGATCGTGTGACGAACTTATTGGTTACTTGAAATCAAGAACCTATTGTATGTGTAATTCAAATCGAATCTGCCGTGCATACAATAATAATAAATGTTGTTAGCTTTCGTAACGTGAAAGAATTCCACGTTAACGGCTACGAGTATATTTCACTTATTACATTATCGCAATTTCATTGAAGGTACAAAGTCTCAAAGATCGCGGAAATGCGTGCGTGAAAGAACAAAAATATGAAGAGGCTATGTTTCATTACACTCACGCCATTAAACTAGATCCACAGAATTATTCTTTGTATAGTAATCGATCATTTGCCTTTTTAAAAATGCAACAATACCATTTTGCAATGGAAGATGCGCTAATGACAATTCAATTGAAACCTGATTGGACCAAGGTATATGCATTATTACTATAACGACACCTTTCTAATTATTAAGGAGTTTCACAAGATATACGATATTTACTTCAATATGATTCATGATATTAGATTACACATCAAAATTTGTTGTAGGGATATTTTAGAAAGGCTGAAGTAGAATCACAAACATTTCACTTCAGTGATGCGCTTCAGTCTTATAACAAAGCTTTATCTTTTCAACCGAACGAACCAACCATTTTAGAGGCAATGAACAGAGTTTCTAGATTATTAATTAAGGATAAACGAGGTATTGAATTCACGTTTATCATACTAAGGATTTTTCGCATAGTACTTTAATAAGTCACATTATTTTATAGCTGATCAACAAATACCTTGGCTCGGTGCTGGAGTTGGCATTATACTCGGAGTAATAGTTGTAATAGCTGATTATGTTTTTACAAATAAACCTACGTTAACGGTACATACGCCAACTTACACTTAGTATTCTTAAAATCTTAAGTTTTAAACGACTACTTATAACAGTTATCTAATTTTCTTCCATTGGATGCAGCATCCTCTTTTGATGGCCTTAATGACAATGTCTGTAGCGATGCTAGGTTTTGGCATTGCAAAGGGTTTCCGTTATTTTGTAAAATGTCAAAGAAAATCACTTTTGGAACCTCCGGTGGATTTGTTTGGTGATACCAAAGAAGAGCTTGAGAATGCTGAAGCTGAAATAAACAATGAGAAAGAAAAGCATCCAAAGTACAGCAAAGCTCAAGCAAGGCAAAGATTCAAGAAAGGAAAATCGTAGTGTGTTTTGATACTAAAGATTATATACATATAGACTCATGTAAATTATGAATCTAAAACTCTTACATTTGAGCTATGAATATTTCTGGTCTTTGTTATTAAATTAGCCGAGAATTTTATTAATACTATTTACATATACATATATATT